CAAAAGATAGTTGGGCCCGATCTTAATTTGTATGAAGAATCGGACGATACTAAATCGGTGTAATGTGTTCACTTTCATACATCTCCATACTGATTAACAGCCCGACCCGACCATCGGCCAACTAACAGTCGGTGGCTTCGTTATTAAAAATTTTACCTCATTAAGCTACTCATTAGAACCAAGATCATCTAATTTTAAATGGAAGATTAGACCTACTGTACTCTCCACGCAATTCCATTGTGGAAAAAAATGAGGCAAAAATTAAGGCAGGCCTATATCGCATCGAACCTTGCCATATGATTGCATACAAACCTTTTCTAGAATTATCACTACGTTCACTGTCCTTCATTTTTTATATTGTCACATAAAACGCACATAAATAAAATAATTATTTTCTTATTATCTTTCACACGAGTCTATAAAAATACCAACACACAGTATCACAGTCACTTCACAATTAAACTTTCTTATTTAATGGTTCATATTATATTAAGATAGTGTGGATCATCAAACAAACTACGTAATAATACTATTGTCATCACGAAACGACAAATATATATGTGACATTGCGGCGTAACAAGTTTGAAGTCAGTGCATTTGAATAAAGACTGGTTTTTAAAAATAACATTTTTATTAAGAAGATCAATGAAGGTCACCAAGTTTAGGTCGTGGATATCTCTTTATACTTTACATTTATTGAGAATAAATTACACGTAAGAGCGGTCTCGTACGTATGTCCGATCCGAATCCGAAAAACACGATCCGGAGTAGCCATACAACTATTTGTATGGTCGTTTACGCACTAGACCCGATATTCGCCATCCAATATGTTTAGTTAGTTTTCTACATCACTATTTTGATGGATTTGTCACAAACATTACTATGAGGTCTCACAGTGCGCGTGGGCGCACAGGGTGACACACGAACCAATCACAGAGCTCTATTCAACGCTGTGCATTCGATTTGCTGCTTCACTTAAGCAAGCATCGTTTGCGAATACGGGCGTTAGTAAACTAGCATTATAAAAAGATGTTAAATTATGTCTGTGACATACGCGTTTAATAGACATTTATGTCGTGCACTATTAACCCACTTGTTACTAGCGTTTGATATACGGATCAACATACAAATTAAATTATTATAAACAATGAGGGTAGTTTGTGATAACATTGTTTATGTTAAACGATTCCTGTGGGGTCCCTTTGTCCATCAGAAGTGTTCTGTTCTCCATTGGGTTTCACATTTCACTTGTAAACGTTTTGTTGTTATCGTCAATTTAACTTTTTATACGGAAAACATGATAAGTTTTTATTATAAAGTATTTCTTGCCGAAATATAAACGTTTGTAACCCAATTTTTGTAAATCGATAACATAATTATAAACATTTTTATAGTAAATGTAACTAATTCAACGTTAAACTTAGTGATCTGTATAAGGAATGCTAGTAATATGAACTGCGGAATTTTGGTGTTTTAGGGCCTGCCTTCGAGGCCCTTTCCTTTAGATCAGTGGTTCTTAGCCTTTAAGTCATGAGGGACCATTTTACCAAATTTCTGTGTTGTCAGGGACCACCTCATAATCGGTCAAAACCAGTTTGACTGCAAAAATCAGTTAAAAGTGCTTTTGACCAAGGTGTGCAAGTGCACATCGTAGACCACTTGGAATGCCTCCAGGGACCACCAGTGGTCCGCGGACCACCGGTTAAGAACCACTGCTTTAGATGAAATCGGTGAAGAATTGGTGAAAAATGAAGATGACTATATCCCTAACTCAATCACAATTTTCCCGCCGGAAAATTCGGAAAATTTTAATGGTGACTTAACCAAAACGATATTCGCTGCCGCTGTGGGTAGAGGTACTATACCACGCGGTAGCGAATACCGCTTAGGTCTGAACAGTATTATTACCGCATACCCACTGGGTTTTCTCTGCCGCAGACGGTAGCGAATACCGCTTAGGTCTGAATAGGCCTTTATGCTTTGATAGCGGTCTTTACTCGGCGCGTATGAACAGTGTAGTGGCGCGGCGACGGCGCGGCGGCGGCGCGGTGACGGCGTCGTGTGCTGGAGCGCTTATTCTAAGCACGGGCTTATTAAATTGCCCCAGTGCAGTGGTAGGGTTAATAATACTGGGTTGTGTAAAAGCCCTTTCATAACCATATTCAAGCCTTAGTCCAGAAAATAACAGACTTTTGTACTGTTTTGACTCGTTGGGCAAATACATACACGAACTCCTTCACTTCAAAATATTCACTTAATTAATTGTATAAACCTTCCATGAAACTTGTTTATGTTTGTTGCCAATAGATGTCACTGTATTTTGAGGGACGAAAAGCTGTACCGCGGTGTCCAGATTTTTTTCCCTGGCTTTATATACCTGGAGTATTTTGACATCTGTGAACCTTTGGGAACCTTTGACAACCATTGTGAACCATTGACAATCTGTGTCAAGTAATAAATTGTCACCTACATATTGACGTCTTATTTATACCTAGATAAGAGTCCCTTAAGTGCGCCGAGAGTATCCGTGGTTTATTCATGGTCCTTCGAGCCGGATATCATCAGGAAGCTGATGTCCATTGGGCACTGGTAACGGTGCAGGTGCCGCGACTACACTTTGTGCATTTTTGGAGGGGGGTGACGTCCTGGACAGTGGATCGCTGTCGCAAACAGGACAGGTGAAGAAGCTGGGTCAGCTAGGAGCTGCTGACATCAGTTTGACAGTACCAGCTGTGGTGCTGTCAGGGCAACTAACTGGTTGAGGAAGATCAGGAGATGATGATGGTGGTGCTGCGCTGAGGTGGCGCCATCTGGTGGAGACACGCTCGGAGCCCTAGGTAGTCGTGTTGGAGCCCTAAGGAGGACGTTCGGAGCCCGAAAGGAGTTCGGGTTCGGAACCCGAAGAAGTTCGTGTTTGATGAAGAGTTCGCCGTCTATTGTGATAGTGTGTGAGTGAAACGGATACAACTGTGAGTACTCTTTTAGCATTTTATTATTGAGAAGAAAGTTGAAGGATTTTGGACTTTATTTACACTGGTAGTTTAACTTAGAAATTTTAATTGTTTACATTCACTTAGAAAATTTTTAGTTTAATTATTTAGGACTTAGAATAGTTTTGAAAAAGCGGTTGCTACGGGGAACCTATGCCCGATTTCTGTCAGAGTTGTCAAAGACTTAGAACTTTTTACGATTTTTGGAAGTTTGTTTACATCTCAATTTAATTGTCATTTATGATGGAACGTTTAGAGAACTGTCAGTTTGACCTCGCGTCAAGAATAGAAAAGTCAAAAGTCAATTTCTTAAAAAGTTCTAAAGGTCGTTTGACCAAGGAGTATTTAGAGGGAAAGTTGGAACTACTTGAAGGTTTGTGGAATGAGTTTCTGTTGGGTCATAAGGAATTGTTGCGCACTACGGAACCTAAAGTATTGTCCAAGTCGACCTATATGCGAAGCGATACTTATGACAAAGCAGAAGATTGTTATATTGATTATAAATGTAAATTAAAAGCGGGTTTATCTGAATACGTTATAATCACAAGTACTTCCAACACTGATTCTGACCAGCACTCTTTACAGGCGCCTAATGTAAAACTACCAAAAGTAAATATTCCGATCTTCTCAGGAAAGTACTCGAAATGGAACACCTTTCGAGACTTATTCCAGTCTTTGATACACTCGAACAAGACTTTAGGAAATGCTCAAAAATTGCTGTATTTAAAGGGGTACTTACAAGGTGAAGCCGAGCAACTTTTATGTAACATTCCGATTACAGACAGTAATTACGATTATTGCTGGGGTTTATTAGACGAGAGGTACAACAACAAGCGATACATTTGTCATCATATTTTGAAGAGACTACTAAGCCAGAAAAATGTAACTTGTGAGTCGGCTAGTGGTTTGAAAGGTCTGATGGACACCACAAATGATTGTTTGTCCGCTCTGTCTAATATTGGCATAGATACTAGTACCTGGGACGTGCTGGTAATTCACTTTGAAGTTGGACCCCGAATCAAAAAGGCAATGGGAGTTTAGCATCGCGGATAATAACTCTACCGAGCTACCAACTTACGACCAGTTCGAACAGTTTCTTAAGAACCGTTACCGCGCCCTTGAGTTTTTGAGTTCAGAGTCCAAACTAATTCCTAACAAAAACTTGCCTGTTAGTCAAATTAAGGCCATGCACGTTGCCACGTTAGTCTGTCTCTTTTGTAAGAAGGAGCACAAATTGAGCACGTGTAAAGCGTTTAGGGATACGTCAGTGGAATTACGTCGCGAATTTGTTGCATCACATAATGTTTGCTTTTGTTGTCTCGGAAACAATCACTCTGCCAAATTCTGCCACAGTAAATACAAGTGTCGCATATGCAAGAGGAAGCACCACACCCTGCTGCATCCTACGAACAAGATTGCTGCTCAGGAACCCCATAACGGGGAGGTTACGGCTGATACCAAGAAAGTTGGTGCTGTTATTTCCTGCACGTCTACAAGGAGCACTGTGGATTGTAACCAGGTATTGCTAGCGACGGCACTTGTAGATACTGCATCTAAATACGGCCAAACTTATACTATTCGTTCTCTGCTGGATCAAGGGTCCCAATCCTCTTTTATTACAGAGGCCATGGTTGAATTATTGGGTTTGAAGAAGATTCCACTTAAAGGGCAAATAGTAGGAGTAGGTGGCACGAACGGGCTCACGACAAAGTCGATGGTGGAAATAAAAATATCATCAAGGGTTGATCCAAACTTTATTATGACAGTGAAGGCTTACGTACTAGGGTCCATCACTTCGCTTTTGCTTAACCAAAAGATAACAGCGGAGGAGTGGAAGGAGCTTGAGGGCATTGTCCTCGCGGATCCGAGCTATTATACTTCTAACAGTGTGGATTTGTTGTTAGGGTCAGAAGTATATAGCCGGGTACTTCAAAACGGAGTCATGAAGGGACCGCTTGGTTCACCACTGGCACAGTGTTCGTCATTGGGGTGGATTTTGTCTGGTGTCGTTCACACGCCCATGAAGCCCTCTGAAACAATAAATGTGATGCATTGTAGCGTGGAGGATCATCAGTTTCTAAGAAAATGTCGTAAGCTAGAAGATGACATTCCGTTGCCAAAGGAACGAACATGTACAGAAAATGAAAACACATGTGAAGGATACTTTACCAAAACTACTCGTAGAGATGACACTGGTCGATACATTGTGCGTCGTCCTCCGGTGAAGAATAAAGATCCTGTTGTGAAGAACTATCTGCAAACACCTGGAAAAAGAATGTATTCATTAGAACGAAGACTGAAGAACGGTGATCAGAAACAGAAATACACAGAGGTTACTAATGAATATGTTGACATGAATTTGGATCACGGTGAAGTTTCTCCAACGGTGGCTGAGAAGATACTGTCAGACTTTTATGTGGACGATCTCAGGATGAGTTGTGAAATTGTCGATCAGGAAAAGTTGACTACTAACAATGAAGATTTGGTAAAGACAATGAAAGAAGATGGTAAAGTAAGTCAACGGAAAGGAAACGAGGAAGGGCTGAAAAGGAACTGATGAAATAATAAAAAGTGGTGGTATTACCTGGAACCGAAGTGAAGATGTATACCGCTACAAGGTCGACGTACAGACCTACGGAGATCCTGAAACAAAAAGGAAGGTTAAAATAAAAAAAGGATACGCTTGAGAAACGCTATGGGTATTCAACAACAGTAGAGGTACAGAAGGCTATGGGTTGTATTTAGTAGCATGCCAATTTGAAAACTAGTGCTGATGTTAAAAGGTTAAGAGAAAGCAGAGACTTACCCAAACGTAGTTTTCTCCAGTTCTTGGGTCCTTTTCTAATGTGAACAACATATTGAGAGTTGGTTGGAGACGTGTAACTTCACAGTTTCATGAACGTCGTGTCGTAATGTAAAACATAAAGATGGATTATACAAATTCGTCAACCTAAAGGTTGTTGATTTAGTTGTCATAATGGTGGACAACTAGCTACGGGTTTTGGCTCAGTGGCAGGGTGATTGTGGTCCATCCCGGTAACGACGATGTTTAAGTTGTACAGGTTCAAGGTAAACGAGTTGGTCTCCTTCCTAAAGCTGAATAATTTTAGTTTATTTAGTTTTAAGGTTTTGAGTATATTTAATATGTTTTGTTATTTTACGGTACAATGGTTTTTTACATGGTTTATTTTAATTTTATTGTTGATGTGTACCGCAACCTGTTTCATGGTGGGCGATGCATTCGCATAAGTTTCATTTGGTTTGTGTTCAATTTTCCTGTTGTTAAGGACCTAGGACGGTCCTTGGTGGGCGATATGTATAAACCTTCCATGAAACTTGTTTATGTTTGTTGCCAATAGATGTCACTGTATTTTGAGGGACGAAAAGCTGTACCGCGGTGTCCAGATTTTTTTCCCTGGCTTTATATACCTGGAGTATTTTGACATCTGTGAACCTTTGGGAACCTTTGACAACCATTGTGAACCATTGACAATCTGTGTCAAGTAATAAATTGTCACCTACATATTGACGTCTTATTTATACCTAGATAAGAGTCCCTTAAGTGCGCCGAGAGTATCCGTGGTTTATTCATTAATTATTCTTGCATACCATTAAGATACTATCATTATTTTGGTTTCAGAATATTCATTGGTTTTTCCATTGTTTTAATTTGACATTTGTTTTATTTAAATTCTTTAAGTAATCTAGTTTACCTAGGAAAATTCATAGATTATTATGTTCAATAATCTATGAATTTTCCTCCAATTATAAGGATAGTTATGGATATTTATGGTTGTCTTTGTCAGTCCAAACCTGGTTCAGCCAAAACACTAGGTGGACCGACGATCTGGTGAATGAAGAAAGTACCTGGATGAGAGCAGTGCAAGACCGGCCGTTGTGGAAATCCTTGGGGGAGGCCTTTGTCCAGCAGTGGACGTCATTTGGCTGAAACAAACGAACGAAAAACTTTAAGAGCTTCCCAAACAATATATTTATTGTTTAGTTATTTGCTCTACTATTATGAATGGTATTCATGTTTTTTTGTAAAATTGCAAATTCGCAAACGTCATGTCTATTACTATTCCGTGAATAATTATGTTAAATTCTTCGTATTATTTTCACAAAAATACTACCTGAATAAGAACTTAAACAATAGAGGTATTACAGCGTTGCTTGCATCCAAATGTCTCCAGCGACCTTCAGCAAATCAGTCCACCTAGTGGGAGGCCTGCCCACGCTACGTCTTCCGGCTCGTGGTAAGAACTTTTCTGTCCGAACGGCCATCAGCTCTACGTGCTATGTTTCTCGCGCACTCCACTTACGTACTATCTAGGTGGCTTTAGTTTTCCTACGGATCTCCTCATTTCTGATTCGATCTCGCAAGGAAACTTCGAGCATTTTAAACTCTACCATAGCGATATTTTTCGTCCAATAGTAAGGGCTTGTTCCCATGGAGATATCTCGTTTTTTGTAGGAACTGTTCTTTGCAGGATCCCATTAATAGTACGAGTATCCCACATAAAACCGATACGTTCGAATTTGTAATTCGAATTTCATACACACATAATGACCATAATGGCAACGTGGCCTCTCAATATAGCTTAGGCCTTATAAATAATCTCAAAATTGCACTGCGTGGTATGGAGAGGGCTTATGCTACGAGATCGAATCAGAAATGAGGAGATCCGTAAACGAACTAAAGTCACTGACATCGCCCAACGGATTAGCAAGCTGAAGTGGCAATGGGCAGGGCATATAGTACGCAGAAGTGACGGTCGATGGGGCAGCAAGGTTCTGGAGTGGAGGCCACGTACCGGAAAGCGCAGCGTAGGACGTCCACCCACAAGGTGGACCGGCGACCTCATAAAGGTATGCAGGCACCACCAATAGACTATTGTGGAAATCATTGGGGAAGGCGTATGTTCAGCAGTGGATGTCCTATGGCTGAAATGATGATGATAATGATGATTACATACATAATGTGTTTTCACGCGACAGTTCAGTTTTGTGGGATCCTGCATTACTGGATTGCTTTAATTAAGATAATTATATCCACGTGTAAATTATTTTCTATGCATTAAATCCAATTGATTACAAACAAGTTATTGATAAAATCGTGAATGATATTAATTAATTGATCCATAATAATAGTGATTTAACTTGATTAATTTGACATAATAATGTTAAGTCATGTCATAATCATAAATCAATCCATCATAATCACAGATGGTTCATATTTATCTAGATAAATATTTACGAGTATAACTTTAAACACTAGTTTAGGATGGGTTTATAAACAACTAGCGGCCGCCCGCGACTTCGTACGCGTGAATCCCGTTTTTCCCGCTAATTCCCGTTCCCGTGGGAATTGCGGGAATTCCTTTCTTAGTGCACCTCTACGGTATCTAAGCTACGTCCCTTCCAAATTTCAAGTGCCTACGTTTAGCCGTTTAGGCTGTGCGTTGATCTGTCAGTCAGTCAGTCAGTTTCTCCTTTTATATATTTAGATAATAATAAATAGTGATTTTAATAATAGTACTTAACACTAACCTTTTTATAACTCTTTATTATTCTTCAATAATGTAAGTAATACATTTGCATAAACTAAATAAAATTGTTGTTTTAATTTAGAAAATAAAACCTACTACACTAAAATCATTAAAGATGCGCCTACGCTAATTTCTTTCTGACCTAAAGGTTAACTGGAGGAAAATATTAAATGGCATCAAGTTACCTTTCACTTTATAACCTTGGATAATGTAAAAATAACTTTCAAACAAATAAACATAAACTATCTCGAAACAAAACTAAAGCTATTTTAACGCCCGTATTCATAAACGATGCTTGCTTAAGTGAAGCAGGAAATCGAACGCACAGCGTTGAATAGAGCTCTGTGATTGGTTCGTGTGTCACCCAGTGCGTCCACACGCACTATGAGACCTCATAATGTTTGTGAATACGGAATTATACATAAGTTATTTACACTATTAAAAAAAGAACAAGATATCTTTTCACCTCCAAGATTCCGTTAAAATTTTCAAATTCAGAACATTTTCCAAATTGAAGACGACACCAGTGTGCCTACCATGAGTTTACGTTAGGTGTGCTCGCTAGCGACTGCGTAAAAAAATGACATTTAAATGTATGACATATTGTGCAGCGCCCCTAGCGGCTACTTTCAAGAAATAAAATCTTCATAGAATTTTTTGACGTATTCGCTAGCGAGCTCACCTAACGTAAACTCATGGTAGGCACACAGATGAATGGTTTCAATATTTGGTTTACCAGTTGGACAGACACCTCATCAAGCTTCACACTGTAGCATCTTATATCGTTGCAATAGGGTTGAATTTACAACAAAAATGTACATATATGTAGATGTGCTATTGTACAGCCAGCGTCAAAGTTCGTGCCACCCAAAGTAGCCAAAAAGTTCGTAACACGTCTTTGTTGCAATTGGAATAAGGTTGCTTTGTCAACTTTTAGGGCATTATAGGTGCTCGTATCTGACGCTGCCTGTACGTAGAAAATGTAAGGCAATCGGACCCGCTTATTAAATTTGTATGTTACAATTTTGCTGCAACGCCAGACTTTATACGTAACTGCGTTGCATTAGACTGAGATTCTGGTGCATTCAAAATTGTTTTTCTAGAAAATTCAGTGCTCTTTTCTGTTTGCATATTTCTGGCGATATTGGATGGCGCTCGTAAGTACTTTAGGGTATAATCTGTTGGATAGTTTTCATCTTCAAGTATTTATCTACGAAATTATTGCAATACACTTTTACCGTTATTCTTTGTCCCTGTAGATCTGTTTATTTAATTTTGTTTTTTTTTTACTTTTCTTTTTCTTTTGGATTCACAACTTCCAAAGGTTATAGGTAAAATTACCGGAAGAGAAGAGTTGAATTAACCTACTATAACAAACTTAATTTATTGTAAATTATCTGTAAATTCAGATTTTTGGTTGTCTTGTAATTGAAAAAAAAAGTTTAATTAAGTTGACAAAATAGTGACGTCACTTGCTTGTATTGCCATGCAAAATCTATGGAAGTGCCTCGTTTTGACAGTTTTAAAAAGTACGTCAAATGATTGGTGGTGTCATATAGCCTGTTGTTACCTAAAATATTATGCCATATCGTGTCTCATAAAACTAAACTCGGTCGCGATTTCAGTTGTTTCATATAAATATAAACGCAAACAGTGAGTACACAAGTAAACAACTAGTTAGTAAGTACATTCCCAGACCACGACAAAGACCACAAAAACTACAGAAGGTTAATTTACCCGGTGTAGTTGTAACCGGCCCGAGGGCAGGGCGTGTCTAAATGCATGCGGGAGACCGCATCGGATGGCTTACTGATAGGGTGGCCATGATATGCAGTTAAAAAGTGAGAAAGTATTTATTCCTAAAAGAGTCTTTATAATTTTAACCTGGCAGTTTGGTTATTTTTGATAATGGCCGTTGCAATAACACACTTTTTTTAATATTTTTTTTATACTTTTGTTACAAGCTGGCCGCTACTAACCGGGCAACATGGAAAGCATTGAGGGAGGCCTTTGTTCAGCAGTGGACGTCCTATGGCTGACATGATGATGATGCATGCGGCTTCATCTGCGTAATTTCCAGTCTACAAAATATATTTCAATTTTTTCCCTGGATTTAAAACTATTAGTTCTCCACGCCAAATTTCATCAAAATCGGAGCGTGAAAATGTAAACTTAATTTATTAATTAGTTATTTATCTTTGACTAGCTGTTCTCGCAACTTTGTACGCGTGAAAATAGTTTTAATAATATTACATTGATTGTTCTTTACTGATCCGCCCCTATAGGTGGTAG